TGGTCAAAGTTATCAGGTAATGAGTGGAGAACAGAAGGGCTTCTTAAAGAAAAACTAACAGGTCTGTGAGAGACGGAATTCTTACTGGTTGGTAGGTGATCAAATACTTATGTCATGCAATAAAATGCAAATTAATTACTTAAAAATCATACAATGTGATTTTCTGGATTTTTGTTTTAGATTCCGTCTCTCACAGTTGAAGTGTACCTATGATAAAAAATTACAGACCTCTACATGCTTTGTAAGTAGGAAAACCTGCAAAATCGGCAGTGTATCAAATACTTGTTCTCCCCACTGTATGTGAATCCAGAGGACTGAAACTGGACAGGGAGTGTGGGGGGTAATTGTGCCAGCTTAGCGATATCATTTAAAGGCATTACAACTGATGTTGTCCAATTAATGTTGTAACCAGAGAGGGTGCTAAAATCATCAGACTTTCATGGCACTGTGTAGATATTTAATTGGAAACGTCCAAAATGTACAACAGAATGTCGTCAGCGTAGAGGGAGATGTGGTGAGTAGTTCCATTGATAGAGATTGGCGATACAGCGCCTTCGGAAAGTATTCAGACCCCTTGACTTTTTCCAAAATGTTGTTAGGTTACAGCCGCCTCCTAAAATGGATTACATTGTTTCCCCCCCCTCATCAATCTACACACAATACCCCATAAAGACAAAGCAAAAACAGGTTTTTAGACATTCTTGCACATTTATAAAAAAAAAAAACTGATCACGTTTACATAAGTATTCAGACCCGTTACTCAGTACTTTGTTGAAGCACCTTTGGCAGCAATTACAGCCTCAAGTCTTCTTGGGTATGACGCTACAAGCTTGGCACACCTGTATTTGGGGAGTTTCTCCCATTCCTCTATGCATATTCTCTCAAGCTCTGTCTAGTTGGATGGGGAGCATCACTCCACAGTTATTTTCAGGTCTCTCCAGAGATGTTCGATTGGGTTCAAGTCCGGGCTCTGGCTGGGCCACTCAAGGACATTCAGAGACTTGTCCCGAAGCCACTCCTGCGTTGTCTTGGCTGTGTGCTTAGGGTCGTTGTCCTGTTGGAAGGTGAACCTTTGCCCCAGTCTGAGGTCCTGAGCGCTCTGAAGCAGGTTTTCATCAAGGATCTCTTGTACTTTGCTCCGTTCACCTTTGCCTCGATCCTGACTTGTCTCCCAGTCCCTGCCGCTGAAAAACATCCCCACAGCATGATGCTGCCACCACCATGCTTCACCATAGGGATGGTGCCAGGTTTCCTCCAGACGTGATGCTTGGCATTCAGGCCAAATATTTAAATCTTGGTTTCATCAGACCAGCTAATCTTGTTTCTGAGAGTCTTTAGGTGCCTTTTGGCAAACTCCAAGCGGGCTGTCATGTGCCTTTTTTACTGAGGAGTGGCTTCCGTCTGGCCACTCTACCATAAAGGCCTGATTAGTGGAGTACTGCAGAGATGATTGTCCTTGTGGAAGGTTCTCCCATCTCCACAGAGGAACTCTAGAGCTCTGTCAGAGTGACCATCGGGTTCTTGGTCACTTCCCTGACCAAGGCCCTTGTCCCCCGATTGCTCAGATTGGCCGGGCGGCCAGCTCTAGGAAGAGTCTTGGTGGTTCCAAACTTCTTCCATTTAAGAATGATGGAGGCCACTGTGTTCTTGGGGAACTGCAATGCCTCAGACATTTTTTGGTACCCTTCCCCAGACCTGTGCCCCGGACAATTCCTTCGACCTCATTTCTTAGTTTTTGCTCTGACATGCACTGTCAACTGTGGGACCTTATATAGACAGGTGTGTGCCCTTCCAAATCATGTCCAATCAATTGAATTTACCACAGGTGGACTCCAATCGAGTTGTAGAAACATTTTAAGGATGATCAATGGAAACAGGATGCACCTGAGCTCAATTTAGAGTCTCATAGCAAAGTGTTTTAATACATATGTAAATAAGGTATTTCTGTTATTATATTTTTAATACATTTGCAAAAATTTCTAACAACCTGTTTTCGCTTTGTCATTATGGGGTATTGGGTCATTATGGGGTATTGGGTCATTATGGGGTATTGGGTCATTATGGGGTATTGGGTCATTATGGGGTATTGGGTCATTATGGGGTATTGGGTCATTATGGGGTATTGGGTCATTATGGGGTATTGGGTCATTATGGGGTATTGGGTCATTATGGGGTATTGTGTGTAGATTGCTGAGGATTTTTATTTATTTAATACATATTTGAATAAGGCTGTAACGTAACAATTATGTGGAAAAAGTCAAGGGTTCTGAATACTTTCCGAATGCACAGTATATAGAATGTAATAGAATGTCCTGTCTATATGGAGAACTGTGGGCTAATAGAATGTCCTGTCTATATGGAGAACTGTGGGGTAATAGAATGTCCTGTCTATATGGAGAACTGTGGGCTAATAGAATGTCCTGTCTATATGGAGAACTGTGGGGTAATAGAATGTCCTGTCTATATGGAGAACTGTGGGCTAATAGAATGTCCTGTCTATATGGAGAACTGTGGGCTAATAGAATGTCCTGTCTATATGGAGAACGGTAGGGTAATAGAATGTCCTGTCTTTATGAAGAACTGTGGGCTAATAGAATGTCCTGTCTATATGGAGAACTGTGGGCTAATAGAATGTCCTGTCTATATGGAGAACTGTGGGCTAATAGAATGTCCTGTCTATATGGAGAACTGTGGGCTAATAGATTGTCCTGTCTATATGGAGAACTGTGGGCTAATAGAATGTCCTGTCTATATGGAGAACTGTGGGCTAATAGAATGTCCTGTCTATATGGAGAACTGTGGGCTAATAGAATGTCCTGTCTATATGGAGAACTGTGGGCTAATAGAATGTCCTGTCTATATGGAGAACTGTGGGCTAATAGAATGTCCTGTCTTTATGAAGAACTGTGGGCTAATAGAATGTCCTGTCTTTATGGAGAACTGTGGGCTAATAGAATGTCCTGTCTATATGGAGAACTGTGGGCTAATAGAATGTCCTGTCTATATGGAGAACTGTGGGCTAATAGAATGTCCTGTCTTTATGAAGAACTGTGGGCTAATAGAATGTCCTGTCTATATGGAGAACTGTGGGCTAATAGAATGTCCTGTCTATATGGAGAACGGTAGGGTAATAGAATGTCCTGTCTATATGGAGAACTGTGGGCTAATAGAATGTCCTGTCTATATGGAGAACTGTGGGCTAATAGAATGTCCTGTCTTTATGAAGAACTGTGGGCTAATAGAATGTCCTGTCTGTATGAAGAACTGTGGGCTAATAGAATGTCCTGTCTTTATGGAGAACTGTGGGCTAATAGAATGTCCTGTCTGTATGAAGAACTGTGGGCTAATAGAATGTCCTGTCTATATGGAGAACTGTGGGCTAATAGAATGTCCTGTCTATATGGAGAACTGTGGGCTAATAGAATGTCCTGTCTATATGGAGAACTGTGGGCTAATAGAATGTCCTGTCTTTATGAAGAACTGTGGGCTAATAGAATGTCCTGTCTTTATGAAGAACTGTGGGCTAATAGAATGTCCTGTCTTTATGAAGAACTGTGGGCTAATAGAATGTCCTGTCTATATGGAGAACTGTGGGCTAATAGAATGTCCTGTCTATATGGAGAACTGTGGGCTAATAGAATGTCCTGTCTGTATGGAGAACTGTGGGCTAATAGAATGTCCTGTCTATATGGAGAACTGTGGAGTAATAGAATGTCCTGTCTATATGGAGAACTGTGGGCTAATAGAATGTCCTGTCTATATGGAGAACGGTAGGGTAATAGAATGTCCTGTCTATATGGAGAACGGTAGGGTAATAGAATGTCCTGTCTGTATCGAAGCAGCAGGGTCTGAGTATAAGGTGCGTATCATGTGGATGGAAGATTTGCCAAATCCAAAGTGTTCCAATACAGCCCATAAAATATGGAGTGACACTTCAATAAACTATTCTAAACTCTAAACTAGCTGAACAGCTCTCATACTAATAATCATCATGAGTTTTTTTTTTTTTTTTACTAAAAACGGTCTTGTTTCTGTTTCCAGTTGCGTAACAGAGGCCCCAGCACATTCAGCAAGGCCATGCTGGACGTAGAGTGGCCCTACAGGTTCACCAACGGCTCTCTTCTCTACATCACCAAGCTGGAGGTGGACGGGGACGGAGGAATGAACTGCAGTACGGACATGGAGATCAACCCGCTCAATGTCTCAGTACGTCGTAGTGTCCCCTCTACCTCTCTCTCTCTTATTCAGCCCAGACACACTTCCTGCGTGTCAATCTGTCCTTTCTTGCACTTGTTCCCTTCCCTTCATGGATTTGAAAGGACTGGTATAGGAAACTCCCTCTAGTCTAGCCCATGAAAGGACTGGTATAGGAAACTCCCTCTAGTCTATGAAAGGACTGGTATAGGAAACTCCCTCTAGTCTATGAAAGGACTGGTATAGGAAACTCCCTCTAGTCTAGCCCATGAAAGGACTGGTATAGGAAAACTCCCTCTAGTCTAGCCCATGAAAGGACTGGTATAGGAAACTCTCTCTAGTCTAGCCCATGAAAGGACTGGTATAGGAAACTCTCTCTAGTCTAGCCCATGAAAGGACTGGTATAGGAAACTCTCTCTAGTGTAGCCCATGAAAGGACTGGTATAGGAAACTCTCTGTAATCTAGCCCATGCTTATGCCAATCCAACACCTAAATGTGGTGAAGACTATATGAGTGCACAATTCGACAGCAAGGACAAATGATTAGGATGTCATCCTCTCTATGGTAAATAAAAAGTTTAAAAGGGCGTTTCTCTCCGTCTCTTCTAGAACCCTCTATCTGGAGAGAAGAACATCACCTCTCCCAGTGGAGGAGGAGACAGGACAGAGGGGAGGAACAGGAACCACGTTCACCGCAGAGAGCTGGAGAGGAAAGAGATGGAGGGAGACCTGGAAACTCTGGTACTGTCCGTACGACGGCGTTGGGGCCAATTTCCCCGAAATTGAAAAGCAGTGGGAATTTCAGTTTACATCCCGATTGGACTAAAAATGGAAATGGAATTGACTCCAACCCTGTTGTAAACTAATCATACAGTAACAACGACATGGATGGAGGAGATCAGTGATGGTGGTGTGTCTCCTCTCTCAGGACTGTTCGAAGGTCCAGTGTCTGAAGATCCGGTGTCAGGTGGGCCGTGTGGAGAGAGGTCAGAGTGCTATCCTCTACATCCACTCCAGACTTGGGGTGGCCACCTTCCTTAAGGTGAGACTCCTGTCTGCTATGCCCTAGAGGTTATCTATAGGACTAGCCTGGTTTCCCAGATGTGTTTGTGCTGTATCGTACATCCACTCCAGACTAGGGGGTGGCCACCTTCAATTTGGTGTACCTCAATGTTTCAGTCTATCTGTCCAATAAAGAAATGCAGTTTTTTTTTTTTTTTCTGTTTTAAGACGTTTTGCTACAGTGTGCCCTAATGAACACCACCCTGGTTGGAGCATACTGTATGGTTTGGTATGTGGCTGTAGAGGGCGTTTTACTAGCCTGGTGGTCCTAGATCAAAAGACTGGACAAGGACTACCAGGCTAGCTATATGGGACCAAACTAGGAAAGCCTTCTGTGTTGATGATGTCGAGTTTCCTTCATCCAGACCGAGAGCCAGAACCGATCGTTCACCGTGAGATCCTCCGCTTCCTTCAGCGTCATAGAGATGCCTTATAACAAGAAGCTGGTGTATGAGCTGCCCTCCAACACCACTACGGTGAGTCACATGGAGCCATCATGGGGATAAACCAGATCTGCATCTATTCCTTATAGTAGTGCACTACTTTAGACCAGAGCCCATGTAGGGCAGGGTTCCCCAATAGGCGGCATGAGTAAAATAAATTATATATATATATATATACAGTGAGGGAAAAAATGAAGAGACCACTGCAAAATTATCAGTTTCTCTGGTTTGACTATTTATAGGTATGTGTTTGGGTAAAAATAAGATTTTTGTTTTATTCTATAAACTACTGACAACATTTCTCCCAAATTCCAGATAAAAAATATTGTCATTTAGAGCATTTATTTGCAGAAAATGACAACTGGTCAAAATAACAAAAAAAAGATGCAGTGTTGTCAGACCTTGAATAATGCAAAGAAAATAAGTTCATGTTCATTTTTAAACAACACAATACTAATGTTTTAACTTAGGAAGAGTTCAGAAATCAATATTTGGTGGAATAACCCTGATTTTCAATCACAGCATTCATGCGTCTTGGCATGCTCTCCACCAGTCTTTCACATTGATGTTGGGTGACTTTATGCCACTCCTGGCGCAAGAATTCAAGCAGCTCGGCTTTGTTTGATGGCTTGTGACCATCCATCTTCCTCTTGATCACATTCCAGAAGATTTCAATGGGGTTCAGGTCTGGAGATTGGGCTGGCCATGACAGGGTCTTGATCTGGTGGTCCTCCATCCACACCTTGATTGACCTGGCTATGTGGCATGGCGCATTGTCCTGCTGGAAAAACCAATCCTCAGAGTTGGGGAACAATGTCAGAGCAAAAGGAAGCAAGTTTTCTTCCAGGACAACCTTGTACGTGGCTTGATTCATGCGTCCTTCACAAAGACAAATCTGCCCGATTCCAGCCTTGCTGAAGCACCCCCAGATCATCACCGATCCTCCACCAAATTTCACAGTGGGTGCGAGACACTGTGGCTTGTAGGCCTCTCCAGGTCTCCGTCTAACCATTAGATGACCAGGTGTTGGGCAAAGCTGAAAATTGGACTCATCAGAGAAGATTACCTTACTCCAGTCCTCTATGGTCCAATCCTTATGGTATTTTGCAAACCTCAGCCTGGCTCTTCTTTGCTTCTCATTGATGAAGGGCTTTTTTCTAGCTTTGCACGACTTCAGCCCTGCCCCTAGGAGCCTGTTTCGAACCGTCCTCGCCATGCACTTCACCCCAGCTGCCGTTTGCCATTCTTTTTGAAGGTCACTTGATGTCATCCTACGGTTGTTGAGTGACATTTGAATGAGTTGGCGGTCATCCCGGTCAGTAGAGAGTCGTTTTCGCCCTCTGCTGGTCTGTAGCTTTGTTGTCCCCAATGTCTGCTGCTTGACCTTGTTCTTATGAACTGCTGTCATTGACATTTTAAGGATGGAAGCAACCTGACGCTCACTGTATCCCTCTGCCAGTAATGCCAGAATTGAACCCTTCTTTTCCTCACTCAAAACTTTCCTTTTCAACTCTTTTGGCATGGTCAATAGTTATTTTTTGATTAATATTACTTTTGAGGTACTATTAGCACTGTTTTTGCCATCCAGCTGGTCCTATTGCAAGAGGATAGTGATGACCACAGCAGTGGTTTTTATACTTTTTCTCGTTAAAAAAGACTTGGTTCAGGTGATCACCTAATCAGTACCTAATTCAGTAGAATGAGGTGTGCCTGTGTTGGAATTCAACAGACACTGGAATAGAATGGCTGTCATACATGTAGAGATGCTGATTTAAGAAAAATGTGCAGTGGTCTCTTAATTCTTTCCAGAGCTATATATATATATATATATATATATATATATACACACACACAGTGGGGAGAACAAGTATTTGATACACTGCCGATTTTGCAGGTTTTCCTACTTACAAAGCATGTAGAGGTCCTGAATGGTTTGTTGTGGTTGGCTCGGGGCCCTGGGTCTGAACCCCGCCCTGTGCAACTGGGTCCTACAGGTGGTGAGGGTAGGCAACAACACCTCCACTACGCTGATCCTTAACACCTCCACTACGCTGATCCTTAACACCTCCACTACGCTGATCCTCAACACCTCCACTACGCTGATCCTTAACACCTCCACTACGCTGATCCTCAACACCTCCACTACGCTGATCCTCAACACCTCCACTACGCTGATCCTCAACACCTCCACTACACTGATCCTCAACACCTCCACTACGCTGATCCTTAACACCTCCACTACGCTGATCCTTAACACCTCCACTACGCTGATCCTTAACACCTCCACTACGCTGATCCTTAACACCTCCACTACGCTGATCCTTAACACCTCCACTACGCTGATCCTCAACACTGATCCTCAACACCTCCACTACGCTGATCCTTAACACCTCCACTACACTGATCCTCAACATCTCCACTACGCTGATCCTTAACACCTCCACTACACTGATCCTCAACACCTCCACTATGCTGATCCTTAACACCTCCACTACGCTGATCCTTAACACCTCCACTACACTGATCCTCAACACCTCCACTACGCTGATCCTCAACACCTCCACTACGCTGATCCTCAACACCTTCACTACGCTGATCCTCAACACCTTCACTACGCTGATCCTCAACACAGGGGCCCCACAAGGGTGCGTGCTCAGCCCCCTTCTGTACTCCCTGTTCACCCATGACTGTGTGACCTCTCACGCCTCCAACTCAATCATCAAGTTTGCAGGCGACACAACAGTAGAAGGCCTGATTACCAACAATGACGAGACAGCCTACAGGGAGGAGGTGAGGGCCCTGGCGGAGTGGTGCCAGGAAAATAACCTCTCCCTCAACGTCAACAAAACAAAGGAGCTGATCGTGGACTTCAGGAAACAGCAGTGGGAGCACGCCTTTATCCACATCGATGGTACCGCAGTGGAGAAGGTGGAAAGCTTCTAGTTCCTCGGCGTACACATCACTGACAATCCGAAATGGTCCACCCACACAGACAGTGTGGTGAAGAAGGCTCAACAGCGCCTCTTCAATCTCAGGAGGCTGAAGAAATTAGTCTTGGCCCCTCATTACATTTTTAAAGATGGACAATTCAGAGCATCCTGTCGGGGCTGTATCACCGCCTGGTACGGCAACTGCACCGCCCGCAACCGCAGGGCTCTCCAGACGGTGGGAAATAACTTCTCCCTCAACAAAACGAAGGAGCTGATCGTGGACTTCAGGAGACAGCAGAGGGAGCACGCCCCCATCCACATTGACGGGCCGCAAAGGTGAAAAGCTTCAAGTTCTTTGTGCGTGCACATCACTGACCACCTGAAATGGTCCCTTCACACAGACAGTGTGGTGAAAAAGGCACAGGAGGCTGAAGAAATGTGTCTTGGCCCCTAAGACCCACACAAACATCTACAGATGCACCATTGAAAGTGTCTTGTCTGGCTGTATCACCGCCTGGTACGGCAACTGCACCATCTGCAACCGCAGGGCTCTCCAGAGGGTGGTGCAGTCTGCCCAACGCATCACCGGGGGCACACTGCCTGCCCTCCAGGACATCTACAGCACCCGGTGTCACAGGAAGGCCAAGAACATCATCAAAGACTCCAGCCACCCTAGTCATAGACTGTTCTCTCTGCTGCCGCACGGCAAGCGGTACCGGAGCGCCAAGTCTAGGTCCAAAAGACTTCTCAACAGCTTCTACCCCCCAAGCCATAAGACTCCTGAACAGCTAATCATGGCTACCCCGGACTATTTGCACTGCCCCCCACCCCCCACCCCATCTTTTTACGCTGCTGCTACTCTGTTAATTATTTATGCATAGTCACTTTAACTCTACCCACATGTACATATTACCTCAACTACCTCAACTAGCCGGTGCCCCCGCACATTGACTCTGCACCGGTACCCCCCTGTATATATAGCCTCCCTACTGTTATTTTATTTTACTTCTGCTCTTTTTTTCTCAACACTTTTTTGTTGTTTTATTTTACATTTTTATTAAAAAATAAATGCACTGTTGGTTAAAGGCTGTAAGTAAGCATTTCATGGTAATGTCTACACCTGCTGTATTCGGCGCATGTGGCAAATAACATTTGATTTGATTTGAAGGCGGAGACAGTACAGGTGCATCAAAGCTGGGACAGAGAGACTGGTAAAACAGCTTTTATCTCCAGGCCATCAGAATGTTAAACATTTACCACTAGCCCCGTAGCCTACCCTGACCTTTAGTCACTGTTACTAGCCGGCTACCAGCCGGTACTCTACCCTGCACCTTAGCGACTGCTGCCCTATGTACATACAGTGCATTCGGAAAGTTTTCAGACCCCTTGACTTTTTCCACATTTTGTTACGTTACAGCCTTATTCTAAAATGGATAAAACATGTCCTCATCAATCTACACACAATACCCCATAATGACAAAGCAAAAAACTTTTTTTGAAATTTTTGCAAATGTATAAAACATAAACAACAGAAATACCTTATTTACATCAGTATTCAGACCCTTTGCTATGAGACTTGAAATTGAGCTCAGGTGCATCCTGTTTCCATTGATCATCCTTGAGATATTTCTGAAACTTGATTGGAGTCCACCTTTGGTAAATTCAATTGATTAGACATGATTTGGAAAGGCACACACCTGTCTATATAAGGTCCCACAGTTGACTGTGCATGTCAGAACAAAAACCAAGCCATGAGGTTGAAGAAATTGTCCGTTGAGCTCCGAGACAGGATTGTGTCGAGGCACAGATCTGGGGAAGGGTACCAAAACATTTCTGCAGCATTGAAGGTCCCGAAGAACACAGTGGCCTCCATCATTCTTAAGTGGAAGAAGTTTGGAACCACCAAGACTTCCTAGAGCTGGCCGCCCGGACAAACTGAGAAATCGGGGGACAAGGGCCTTGATCAGGTAGGTGACCAAGAACCCGATGGTCACTATGACAGAGCTCCAGAGTTCCTCTGTGGAGATGGGAGAACCTTCCAGAAGGACAACCATCTCTGCAGCACTCTACCAATCAGGCCTTTATGGTAGAGTGGCCAGACGGAAGCCACTCCTCAGTAAAAGGCACATGATAGCCCGCTTGGAGTTTGCCAAAAGGCACCTAAAGGACTCTCAGACCATGAGAAACAAGATTCTCTGGTCTGATGAAACCAAGATTGAACTCTTTGGCCTGAATACCAAGCGTCACTTCTGGAGGAAACCTGGCACCATCAAGGGAAAGATGAACGGAGAAAAGTACGGAAAGATCCTTGATGAAAACCTGCTCCAGAGCACTCAGGACCTCAGACTGGGGCGAAGGTTCACCTTCCAACAGGACAACGACCCTAAGCACACAGCCAAGACAACGCAGGAGTGGCTTTGGGACAAGTCTCTGAATGTCCTTGAGTGGCCCAGCCAGAGCCCAGACTTGAACCTGATCGAACATCTCTGGAGAGACCTGAAAAGAGCTGACGCTCCCCAACCAACCTGACAGAGTTTGATACTGGGGAGAAACTCCCCAAATACAGGTGCGCCAAGCTTGTAGTGTCATACCCAAGAAGACTTGAGGCTGTCATTGATGCCAAAGGTGCTTCAACAAAGTACTGAGTAACGGGTCTGAATACTTATGTAAATGTAATATTTCAGTTTTTTTCTTTGTCATTATGGGGTATTGTGTGTAGATTGATGAGGGAAAAAAACAATTTAATCAATTTTAGAATAAGGCTGTAACGTAACAAATGTGGAAAACGTCAAGGGGTCTGAATACTTTCTGAAGGCACTGTATATGGAATAACTACTGCTGTACACACCTTTTCTATTCATATACTGTCCATACTGTCTAAACACACCATCCTATATACAGATTCTGAGAGGTTTGTTATAGTGGGGAAAAAATGTATTTAGTCAGCCACCAATTGTGCAAGTTCTCCCACTTAAAAAGATGAGAGAGGCCTGTAATTTTCATCATAGGTACACGTCAACTATGACAGACAAATTGAGAAAATAAAATCCAGAAAATCACATTGTAGGATTTTTAATGAATTTATTTGCAAATTATGGTGGAAAATAAGTATTTGGTCAATAACAAAAGTTTCTCAATACTTTGTTATATACCCTTTGTTGGCAATGACACAGGTCAAACGTTTTCTGTAAGTCTTCACAAGGTTTTCACACACTGTTGCTGGTATTTTGGCCCATTCCTCCATGCAGATCTCCTCTAGAGCAGTGATATTTTGGGGCTGTCGCTGGGCAACAGACTTTCAACTCCCTCCAAAGATTTTCTATGGGGTTGAGATCTGGAGACTGGCTAGGCCACTCCAGGACCTTGAAATGCTTCTTACGAAGCCACTCCTTCGTTGCCCGGGCGGTGTGTTTGGGATCATTGTCATGCTGAAAGACCCAGCCACGTTTCATCTTCAATGCCCTTGCTGATGGAAGGAGGTTTTCACTCAAAATCTCACGATACATGGCCCCATTCATTCTTTCCTTTACACGGATCAGTCGTCCTGGTCCCTTTGCAGAAAAACAGCCCCAGAGCATGACGTTTCCACCCCCATGCTTCACAGTAGGTATGGTGTTCTTTGGATGCAACTCAGCATTCTTTGTCCTCCAAACACAACGAGTTGAGTTTTTACCAAAAAGTTATGTTTTGGTTTCATCTGTCATTCTCCCAATCCTCTTCTGGATCATCCAAATGCACTCTAGCAAACTTCAGACGGGCCTGGACATGTACTGGCTTAAGCAGGGGGACACGTCTGGCACTGCAGGATTTTGGCCATCAAGGAAAAGGCTATGTCTGGCGCAAACCCAACACCTCTCATCACCCCGAGAACACCATCCCCACGGTGAAGCATGATGGTGGCAGCATCATGCGGTGGGGATGTTTTTCATCCCCACCGCATGAGACTGGGACGGAGGTTCACCTTCCAGCAGGACAATGACCCTAAGCATACTGCTAAAGCAACACTCGAGTGGTTTAAGGGGAAACATTTAAATGTCTTGGAATTGCCTAGTCAAAGCCCAGACCTCAATCCAATTGAGAATCTGTGGTATGACTTAAAGATTGCTGTACACCAGCGGAACCCATCCAACTTGAAGGAGCTGGAGCAGTTTTGCCTTGAAGAATGGGCATAAATCCCAGTGGCTAGATGTGCCAAGCCTATAGAGACATACCCTAAGAGACTTGCAGCTGTAATTGCTGCAAAAGGTGGCTCTACAAAGTATTGACTTTGGGGGGGTGAATAGTTATGCACGCTCAAGTTTTATGTATTTTTGTCTTATTTCTTGTTTGTTTCACACAAAAAATAATGTGCATCTTCAAAGTGGTAGGCATGTTGTGTATATCAAATGATACAAACCCCCAAAATATCCATTTTAATTCCAGGTTGTAAGGCAACAAAATAGGAAAAATGCCAACGGGGGTGAATACTTTCGCAAGCCACTGTATACACCATCTTATACATATCTATTTATTTTCCGGACTCAGACTCATTCTAATATCTCTATATTTCTTAATTCCTTTATTTTTGTCTTCAGGATTTGCGTGTTTTGTTTTGTATTGCTTTGTATTGTTAGATATTACTGCTCTGTTGGACCTAGGAACATAAGCATTTCACTACACCGTGATAACATCTGCAAAATATGGGTACATGACTAATACAATTTGATTTGAATTTGGGGACCCCTGCCATAGGGTCCTGAATGGTTTGTTGTCTCATTGGATCAATAAAGATGTATTGTAAAACACTGTGATATGTCCTCCAGGTGAGTATGTCGGTGATCTGGGTGAAATCTGATCCTGAACCTGTCCCTTGGTGGGTGGTGACCCTGGCCCTGATCGCAGGACTACTGCTGTTGGCTTTACTCATCTTCATCATGTACAAGGTACACACACACACACACACACACACACTACACACACACACTACACACTACACACTACACACACACACACACACACTACACACACACACACACACACTACACACACACACACACACACTACACACACACAAACAAACAAAAGCCAATGATAGATTCCAGTAGTTTTTCTCTCCACTCTCCTGGGCTCTTCCTCCATCACTGTATCTAAAACCCCTCCTCCTCTTACCACCTCTGCTGATCTGACAGAAGTGACCAGCTGAAAGCCAGCCCCACCATTTTGTTTTTACCTGTCAAGGCCTTTCTTTCAAACGTTTTATTTAACATTTTCAATACATCAGTCACCAAATGACAAAAACATAATATACACTCCCCTCCGTATTTATGTGGACAGTGAAGCTGAAAATGCGGCTCTATACTCCAGCATCTGGATTTGAGATCAAATGTTTTTACGAGGTGACATTACAGAATGTCACCTTATTTACATATCTGTTTTACCGTTAAGAAATTAAAGGCACTTTATGTATCTAGTCCCCCCCATTTTGAAGGTGTCATAGGTATTTGGACAAATTCATAGTGTAATATAGTCAAGTTTTAGTATTTGGTCCCATATTCCTAGCACACAATGATTACATTAAGCTTGTGTCTCTACAAACTTGCTGGATGCATTTGCAGTTTGTTTTGGTTGTGTTTTGGATCATAATGTGCCCAATAGAAATGAATAATATGTCATTTTTGGAGTCACTTTTATTGTAAGAATAGAATATGTTTCTGAACACTACATCAATAAATGATCCCCCCCCCCCCCCCAAAAAAAACAAAAAAAATATCAAGCCCTCCAAAAAATGCTAACCTCCCGTTATTGGTAATGGTGAGAGGTAAGCATGTTTTGGGGGTATGATCTTTGTGGCTCTTGACTATCTCACTATTCATCTTTAATTCACGATTATCTGCAATCACATTCACGTAGAAATGTTCAGAGGAATGTAGGATCTTAACTGTCTATGCCTGCCGCCTCCTCCTCCCTCCCTCTCCGTAGCTGGGTTTCTTCAAGCGCGTACGCCCGCCCCAGGAGGACGCCACGGAGAAGGAGCAGCTAGCACCGCAGGAGAACGGCGATCGGAACACTGACGCTTGAAAGACCCGAGGGCCCCAAGGGGCTTCAACACAAGACCCTGTGGAGCTCTCTGTAAATACACAAACAGATAACCCTGCTGTCCGAATAGGCTCCCTGTGTAGGGTACTACTTTGGACCAGAATGCACCAGTACACACCGACAGTTGTCTACTCTTTATAATCACACCGTGTATCTGCATCCTAAATCCCTCGCAGCCCTGCTACTCCCGTGTACATGTCTGCATATATTTTAGAAGAAAAAAAAACACTTAACGTGGATGGGAGGAGAAAAGAAAAGTGATTTGATATTAAATTAAATGTTTATCATGTTTGAAAGGACTCCGCGCTCTTCTTCTGATTTATTGTTCTGCGTCTTTAGTGCGGCGGACTTTTCAGTTCAATGAATTGCTGCAACGGATGTGAATACGAGGATGATATGAGGTGTGAGAGTTATCAATAACGATGCTTATCTATTGTCTTGAATGACAGTACATGACATGGATTGGGATGTGTTGAAGTCGTTTCTGGTGTGTACCTATTGTTGAGAGTATTTTATGTTCTGTTATGCTTCTGCAATTGATGACATTCCCGGGCAATGTTTCACTCCAGATACAGGATTATACGTAGTGACGTGCGCATACAAATCACACGTCACTGTGGTGTAAATGGACAATTATATGTATAAAAGGATAAAGAATGGATTTACCCATATTGGGTAATCTACGTGGAACTTAAATTTGTTAGCATCGGAGCACTATAGTATCTAATCAATCCCTCAGCCACTGCTTCATCTGTTTCTTCACACTTTCGATTTCATTATTTATCTTGATGCAAGTTTGATGTTACAGACTAGTTGTGAATTTTACACCTGTTCATAATTTTGTTTTTGTTTTAAAGACAATATTGGAAATGGGTTTGTTTTCCTTCCCCACATTTCTGGTTGAGCTGATAAAGTTTAAAATCTTTCCTAAATTAAAAATGTCTAAAACCATTAAAAGCATTTCTTTGTGGTTTTATACTTGTTAACGCACTGTTGCCGCCACATTATCGGCTCTGATCCTGATAACCTTTATAGCACTGATAAGAGTTATCAGGATTATCTGATGAACTGGGTTCATAGGCTGGTTGTTAGGTGATTATGAAATTATCTAAGTTCCCATAAGCTTACCTTAGTAAATTATAACATCTCCCTCCCCCACACAATTGTTTATGCATAAAAGACAATTCATTTTTTGGTAAAATATTTATTTCGATATATATCATATACCGGTAAGTGCATTTCCACTTGACAGGATCTGGATCGGTCTTGCTGGGAGAAGGAGAACGGAGATGGACAACGTCCTCTTTTCCTGTCTGTCACTGTCATTCTGTCAGCAAGAAACTGAGGTCACTGCCAGATTCAAATTCTGTTGTTGGCTTCCCCCTGAAACCCAAAACACCGGCTGTGAGACAGACAGACTCGTCAAATCACCGGCCCCTAGTTATTTACCAGCGTTAGGCAAACACACACAACTATAAAATATACATTTTAGCCTGCTTTATTGTGTTCAATACTTTGTTTGATCTGTTAAACTTGTTTTGTTCACTAGAGCTATATTGGGTCAGGGTCATGATATGGGGTCACAGGCCGGTGTGAGAGAGATAATTGGCAGCAGGTAGCTTAGTGGTTAAGAGCGTCGTGCCAGTAACCGAAAGGTCGCTGGTTCTAATCCCCGTGCCGACTAGGTGGAAAATCTGTCGATGTGCCCCTTGAGCAAGGCACTTAACCCTAATTGCTCATGTAAGTCGCTCTGGATAAGAGCGTCTGCTAAATGACTAAATGTGTAAAATGTGTTACCTGATGAACAGCCGTGCCTTGCAGGTGCCAAGTAGCGTAGCCTTGTTCCCTTCGACTAGCAACATGGAGCCCTCTCTCAAGCCCTAAGACGATCAACAATCGGGGATTTCATGAAAGCATATCCTAATACCATGTAAACAGATAAAGTAAGTCAACTTGGAATAAAATCTTTATTTCTCTCAGACTCACCAGAACAGATGGCGTGTCAGGCTCCTCGTGGTACTGAATGATCCTCTGCTCTCGTGTCTCCTGGGGAGAAGAAATCAAAGACTTTGTGACGTTTTAGCCTCACACATTCTGTAGGACACCACGGGCAAGGTTCCCAGACACAGATTAACCTAGTCCCAGACTTAAAAAAAAAACGTTTTCAATAGAGATTCTACATTGAGCATAACCATTGAACATTAGTCAGAGAAACCAGCCCTTCAGCATTCGCTATACTGTACCGATGCTCTGCTATAATGTACTACTCACCCCCATGTGTCTGCTGTTAGGGTCCGTATCCAGGAAGTGAGGGTTGATGTTGAAAGGCACTAGACCAATGGCAGTGAAGGAGGGCGGGTACACGATGGGCATGTCGTTGGTGGTGTTGATGCTGACAGTAGCGACGTTGGTGCCAGCACTGGAGCCCATGTAGGGCACACCATCCTGGAGATATAAGAGAGAGGGTTAGGGTTACTGTAGGGTAAGGGTATGGGCTCTATCTATTGGCTATATATATTGGATCTCTCTATGGGCTCTCTCTATGGGCTCTCTCTATGGGCTATATCTATTGGATCTCTCTATGGGCTCTCTCTATGGGCTATATATATTGGATCTCTCTATGGGCTCTCTCTATGGGCTATATCTATGGGCTATCTCTATGGGCTATCTCTATTGGCTCTCACTATTGGCTCTCTCTATGGGCTATCTCTATGGGCTATATCTATGGGCTCTCTCTATGGGCTATATATATGGGCTCTCTCTATGGGCTCTCTCTATAGACTCTCTCTATGGGCTATATCAGCTGACAGTATGAACAATATTTGTACATGCAGGCATCAACTGTAAATATTGTTTCATCTAGCACAATGTTTCCCAAAACTACTAGAGTACCCACAGCCATTCAGGTGTGCTACTTCTGGAATATAGGCTATCATAGTGGGAACAGCTGTGCAACCCGAGGAGAGGTTTTTGGAGAACACTGCTCTAAAAATATCAGTCTGACCTGCAGGACCCTCTTGTTGATCTCAGACAGCACCTTGTTGTCGTAGAGACTTTTCAGCAGACGGAAAGTGTTGCCACCACCTGTTGAGAGAACAGCAAGCTGTTATGACTTTACTATACTGTACACGATCCTGATGACTTCTTAACATGTAGTCAATCTGTGTACCGGTGTGTAGTAGAATACATTAACTCTTGCAGTACACTCGTACAATAGCATTCCTTCAAATGATGCCTACAGTGAGGGAAAAAAGTATTTGATCCCCTGCTGATTTTGTACGTTTGCCCACTGACAAAGACATGATCAGTCTATAATTTTAATGGTAGGTTTATTTGAACAGTGAGAGACAGAATAACAACAACAAAATCCAGAAAATTGCATGTCAAAAATGTTATACATTGATTTGCATTTTAATGAGGTCCTCTGTAGCTCAATTGGTAGAGCATGGCGCTTGTAACGCCAGGGTAGTGGGTTCGATCCCCGGGACCACCCATACGTAAAAATGTATGCACACATGACTGTAAGTCGCTTTGGATAAAAGCGTCTGCTAAATGGCATATTATTATTATTTTATAAATAAGTATTTGACCCCTCTGCAAAACATGACTTAGTACTTGGTGGCAAAACCCTTGTTGGCAATCACAGAGGTCAGACGTTTCTTGTAGTTGGCCACCAGGTTTGCACACATCTTAGGAGGGATTTTGTCCCACTCCTCTTTGCAGATCTTCTCCAACTCATTAAGGTTTCGAGGCTGACGTTTGGCAACTCGAACCTTCAGCTCCCTCCACAGATTTTCTATGGGATTAAGGTCTGGAGACTGGCTAGGCCACTCCAGGACCTTAATGTGCTTCTTCTTGAGCCACTCCTTTGTTGCCTTGGCCGTGTGTTTTCGGTCATTGTCATGCTGGAATACCCATCCACGACCCATTTTCAATGCCCTGGCTGAGGGAAGGAGGTTCTCACCCAAGATTTGACGGTACATGGCCCCGTCCATCGTCCCTTTGATGTGGTGAAGTTGTCCTGTCCCCTTAGCAGAAAAACACCCCCTTAGCATAATGTTTCCACCTCCATGTTTGACGGTGGGGATGGTGTTCTTGGGGTCATAGGCAGCATTCCTCCTCCTCCAAACACGGCGAGTTGAGTTGATGCCAAAGAGCTCCATTTTGGTCTCATCTGACCACAACACTTTCTCCCAGTTCTCCTCTGAATCATTCAGATGTTCATTGGCAAACTTCAGACGGGCCTGTATATGTGCTTTCTTGAGCAGGGGGACCTTGCAGGCGCTGCAGGATTTCAGTCCTTCACGGCGTAGTGTGTTACCAATTGTTTTCTTGGTGACTATGGTCCCAGTTGCCTTGAGATCATTGACAAGATCCTCCCGTGTAGTTATGGGCTGATTCCTCACCGTTCTCATGATCATTGCAACTCCACGAGGTGAGATCTTGCATGGAGCCCCAGGCCCAGGGAGATTGACAGGTCTTTTGTGTTTCTTCCATTTGCGAATAATCGCACCAACTGTTGTCACCTTCTCACCAAGCTGCTTGGCGATGGTCTTGTAGCCCATTCCAGCCTTGTGTAGGTCTACAATCTTGTCCCTGACATCCTTGGAGAGCTCTTTGGTCTTGGCCATGGTGAAGAGTTTGGAATCTGATTGATTGATTGCTTCTGTGGAAAGGTGTCTTTTATACAGGTAACAAGCTGAGATTAGGAGCACTCCCTTTAAGAGTGTGCTCCTATTCTCAGCTCGTTACCTGTATAAAAGACACCTGGGAGCCAGAAATCTTTCTGATTGAGAGGGGGTCAAATACTTATTTCCCTCATTAAAATGCAAATTCATTTATAACATTTTTGACATGCATTTTTCTGGATTTTTGTTGTTGTTATTCTGTCTCTCACTGTTCAAATAAACCTACCATTAAAATTATAGACTGATCATTTCTTTGTCAGTGGGCAAACTTACAAAATCAGCAGGGGATCAAATACTTTTTTCCCCTCACTGTATGTAGGCCTATGGTAGGTATATTGGAGAGGCCTATGAGGTGCTAACGTATGAGCTCACGGTCCACTCCTCACCTATAAATATACCCTGAGCCTTCCTTACTGCTTCCACTGGGTCAGAGGACTCGTGTATGCTGTCCACCTCATAACCTGTCAGACAGACAGACAGACAGACAACACTCACATTAGACAACTGATATCCTGTCTCACATCGACCCCCCTAGTCCAGGGTTCTTCAATTCCGGTCCTGGAGGGCCGAAACACCTCTGTTTTTCATCCTCTCCTTCTAATCAGGGGCTAATTCAGACCTGGGACACCAGGTGAGTGCAATTAACTACCAGGTAGAAATTAAAAACAGAAGTGTTTTTCGGCCCTCCAGGACCGGAATTGAAGAACCCTGGACTAGTCCCTACGCCCCACTGCACCTGATAACAAGTGTAAACAAGGGGTTTGACAAGTGTAAACAAAATGTGCTCGTAACAATCAAGCCCTCTCAGATCTCCACAAGAGCATAAGAGCATTAGGGTCCAGGGATTGATTTGGGATTGGACCTGAGTCACTACAGACACACAGCATTAGGCCTATGAAAGGGAACGGACCGCTGTAAAAGACGTACCCAGACTCTTGAACTTGTCCCTGGCAGTCTTTGCGTAGCCATCTCTATCAGACAGTGCATAGGGGACGAATAGGATCGTCTTCACACCTCTGCAAGAAATACATTACACTGTTAGGTTATACACCGAGTACACCAAACATTAGAAACACCTTCCTAGTATTGCGTTGTAACCCCAGCAGCGTTGCAGTTCTTGAAACAAATCGGTGCGCCTGGCACCTAAATCTTTTGTCTTGCCCATTCACCCTCTGAATGGCACACATACGCATTCCATGTCTCAATTGTCTGAAGGCTTAAAAAAATATTTCTTTAACCTGTCTCCTCCCCCTTCATCTACACTGATTGAAGTGGATTTACCAAGCCACATCAATAAGGGATCACAGCTTTCACCTGGATTCACCTGGTCAGTCTATGGAATGGAATGAGCAGGTGGTCTTAATGTTTTGTATACTCAGTGTGCATTACACTGTTAGGTAATATCTACCATTACAATGTTAGGTAATATCTACCATTAGACTGTTAGGTAATATCTACCATTACATTGTTAGGTAATATCTACCATTACACTGTTAGGTAATATATACTACATGACCAAAATAATGTGGACAACTGCTCATTGAGCATCTCATTCCAAAATCACGGGCATTATTATGGAGTTAGTCCCTCCTTTGCTGCTATAACAGCCTCCACTCTTCTGGGAAGCCTTCCCACTAGATGTTGGAATATTGCTGCGGGGACTTGCTTCCATTCAGCCAGAAGAGCATTAGTGAGGTCAGGCACTGATTTTGGGCGATTAGGCCTGGCTCGCAGTCAGCGTTCCAATTCATCCCAAAGGTGTTAGACGGGGTTGAGGTCAGGGCTCTGTGCAGGCCAGTCAAGTTCTTCTACACCAATCTCAACAAACCATTTCTGTATGGACGTCGCTTTGTGCACAGGGGCATTGTCATGCTGAAACAGGAAAGGGCCTTCCCCAAACTGTTGCCACAAAGTTGGAAGCACAGAATCATCTAGAATGTCATTGTATGCTGTAGCGTTAAGATTTCCCTTCGCTGGAACTAACAGCACTTACAGTTGACCAGGGCAGCTCTAGCAGGGCAGAAATTTTATGAACTGACTTGTTGAAAAGGTGGCATCCTATGACGGTGCCACGCTGAAAGTCACTGAGCTCTTCAGTAAGGCCATTCTACTGCCAATGTTTGTCTACAGAGATTCCATGGCTGTGTGCTCAATGTTATACACCTGTCAGCAACAGGTGTGGCTGAAATAACCAAATTCACTAATTTGAAGGGGTGTCCACATACTTTTGTATATATAGTGTATCTACCATTACACTGTTAGGTAATATCTACCATTACACTGTTTCATTATATCTACCATTAGGATGAATTAACTGTGAAGATAGCCTTTCCTCCCATATCTATTTCCACTAATTCATTGAGTGCAGTAGTTATAGACATGTATAAGTAGTTATAGACATGTATAAGTAGTTACAGACATGTATAAGTAGTAGTTATAGACATGTATAAGTAGTTAGACATGTATAATTAGTTATAGACATGTATAAGTAGTTAGACATGTATAAGTAGTTATAGACATGTATAAGTAGTTATAGACATGTATAAGTAGTTATATACATGTATAAGTAGTTATAGACATGTATAAGTAGTTATAGACATGTATAAGTAGTTAGACATGTATAAGTAGTTATAGACATGTATAAGTAGTTAGACATGTATAAGTAGTTATAGACATGTATAAGTAGTTATAGACATGTATAAGTAGTTATATACATGTATAAGTAGTTATAGACATGTATAAGTAGTTACAGACATGTATAAGTAGTTATAGACATGTATAAGTAGTTATAGACATGTATAAGTAGTTATAGACATGTATAAGTAGTTATAGACATGTATAAGTAGTTATAGACATGTATAAGTAGTTATAGACATGTATAAGTAGTTACAGACATGTATAAGTAGTTATAGACATGTATAAGTAGTTATATACATGTATAAGTAGTTATAGACATGTATAAGTAGTTACAGACATGTATAAGTAGTTATAGACATGTATAAGTAGTTATAGACATGTATAAGTAGTTATAGACATGTATAAGTAGTTATAGACATGTATAAGTAGTTAGACATGTATAAGTAGTTATAGACATGTATAAGTAGTTACAGACATGTATAAGTAGTTACAGACATGTATAAGTAGTAGTTATAGACATGTATAAGTAGTTATATACATGTATAAGTAGTTATAGACATGTATAAGTAGTTAGACATGTATAAGTAGTTATAGACATGTATAAGTAGTTATAGACATGTATAAGTAGTTAGACATGTATAAGTAGTTATAGACATGTATAAGTAGTTATAGACATGTATAAGTAGTTATAGGCATGTATAAGTAGTTATAGACATGTATAAGTAGTTACAGACATGTATAAGTAGTTAGACATGTATAAGTAGTTACAGACATGTATAAGTAGTTATAGACATGTATAAGTAGTTAGACATGTATAAGTAGTTATATACATGTATAAGTAGTTATAGACATGTATAAGTAGTTATAGACATGTATAAGTAGTAGTTATAGACATGTATAAGTAGTTATAGACATGTATAAGTAGTTATAGACATGTATAAGTAGTTATAGACATGTATAAGTAGTTAGACATGTATAAGTAGTTACAGACATGTATAAGTAGTTAGACATGTATAAGTAGTTATAGACATGTATAAGTAGTTAGACATGTATAAGTAGTTATAGACATGTATAAGTAATTATATACATGTATAAGTAGTTATAGACATGTATAAGTAGTTATAGACATGTATAAGTAGTTAGACATGTATAAGTAGTTACATACATGTATAAGTAGTTATAGACATGTATAAGTAGTTACATACATGTATAAGTAGTTATAGACATGTATAAGTAGTTATAGACATGTATAAGTAGTTATAGACATGTAGAAGTAGTTAGACATGTATAAGTAGTTATAGTAAAGGAGAGTCAGATTGTAAGTGTACAGTACAACAGCATTCCTTCCATAGCCGTTAGGGGTTGATGTTTAGAGTAGTCCAGGGACTTTGAAGGTGAGTGTTAGTCAATGGAAATAGAACTTACTGTCCGAAAAAGTCTTTGATCTGCTGTTGACAATGTTCCAGATACCCTCCCCCGTGCAGGGTTGAGTTGGACACCAGCAGAAGTCTCCTCTTCATTTCTTTCAAGACAAGGTTTTGATCAAGTTTACAACTCACTCAGGTGAAATATGCTACCTCGTCCTACACCTCAAAGATTACTTTAGCAGTACATAGCCAGCCGTGCATAAGCCGGAAGTGTTCTCAGGAGGTGTTCAGGTATGGAGTGAGATTTGTTTCTTTATTCTGTAAATATGTCTACCACGATCCGTGTATATTCAACATAACTCACAAATAAAACTATGATATGTGAATATATAAAAATATTTAGTAAATAAAACAATAATCATCAAAAAAATACAAATTAAAAATTAAACCATCATCTGTGAATATGTTAAAAGTATTTCACTAATTAAACCATAATGTGGCTTCAGATGAGAGTCGGCTATCTCCATTCATTGTGATAATCTTTGTGTCAGGTGATGTTAAATTTGACCAATTTTGGCATGCAACGCCGAGTGTGTGGTTTCGACATCAGCCCACTAACAGGTTGACTTTTAATTGGTCATTTTCATACTTCAAAACATTTTCTTCATAACAATTATCAGATTATCTTGAGCCATCATCATAACATGGCCCTGTGCATTGTTGCACAATTAAACCCTCATGTTATTATTTCAGGTTAATCTTTTTTTTTACTGATAAAAGTCTTTACAGTATGAGTAGAATAACTTGGCCTTTGCTCCTCAACCCAATGGTGTAACACAATACAGAGAGGGATTGACCAGACAGCAATCAGACACGGAATGCATGTATTTACTAGGAAACAACATATTCATAAATCTAGCTAAGCATTCATAACATGTGACTTGGCTAGCTAGTAAGCAAGCCTAGATGGAGCAGAAAACGGCTAGCTGAATTTCTAAAGTAAAAAAAAAAAAAAATCATATCATGTTACAATTTATTAACTCCACACCAGTCGGGAAAGAGTGCTTTGTCCTGCCAAAGCATCAATTGCCCTGTTTAGTCCCTGAAAGTGGTGATCTGGCTAGCCAGATCACCAATTCAGAATTTTTTTAACTGAGCGGTTCGTCATCATTTACACATTCCTGAATTTACAAGAACTAGTTAGTTTAACTTTGGTTGTTCGTCGAGATCACCTGCTAGCTATCGGCAGTGTCCAACGTTCCCTAGTTAGCTAGCTAGCTTGGCTAGTGGGCTGATGACGAAAGCACGCACTCAGCGTTGCATGCCCCAATGGTCGAATTTAACATTCATATGAAAGGCATTTGTTGATCATTTTAACAATTTGTTGAATAAATAAACGTTATACACATTTCATAAAGTTGTTCTTTATTAGTTAGATATTCTAGCTAGAAAGTGTTCTCCCAAATCATGGCTGAATGAGACACTGCTTCACTCTGCACGTCACCTGACACAAAGATTATCCGAATGAATGGAGATAGCCGACTCTCATCAGCAGACTCATCTGAATCCACATTTGTGGATTGTAATACATTGACAGGCGGAAAATAAAATCTGAAAATACAGATCCAGAAGCACTTTTTGAATGTGCAAATGCACATTCCACAGATCTAAACGTTAGGGATTTCTGAACTTTTGCTCACAAATTGTTCAAATCGTAGTTTTACATTTTAGTCATTTAGCAGACGCTCTTATCCAGAGCGACTTACAGTTAGTGAGTGCATACATTATTTTTCTATTTTTCATACTGGCCCCCTGTGGGAATCAAACCCACAACCATGGCGTTGTAAACGCCACGCTCTACCAACATCCCTGCCGGCCATTCCCTCCCCTACCCTGGACCAATTGTGCGCTGCCCCATGAGTCTCCCGGTCGTGGCCGGCTACGACAGAGCCTGGATTCAAACCAGGATCTCTAGTGGCACAGCTAGCACTGCGATGCAGCGCCTTAGACCACTGCGCCACTTGGGAGATTTTATTTGTTATTTATGTTGAATATATTTACAGATCATTAATTTATTTGTGATTTATGGTGAATATTTGTGAAATATTTTTTTACATATTCATGGATTATGGTTTAATTTGTGATAATGTTTTTGCGGATTATGGTTTCATTTACGAAATATTGTAATATACTCACAGATCATAGTTTTATTTGTGAGTTATGTTGAATATACACGGATCGTGGTAGACATATTTACAGAATAAAGAAACAAATCTCACTCCATACAGGTCCAGTTAATTATTTAAACACAATTTCCTGGTCTAAGTTTAAAGTTCAACAGCAGGTAATTAACCATCTGTTTTGCTGACAAGTCTCTCTTACAGTCAATAAATAATCTAATCTGATTACTTCTCCTGATAAATCTACATGTAGTAGAAAAAGGTTGTGAAATCTTTCGATACAACAAACCTTTGGCGATTATTCTTGTAGTCATTGATTGAAAACAATGTTGCGCTTCAAAAGGTTACAGACTGCATCACTGATTTAAATTTCGATACGTAGCCTTGACCGGATATTTTATTTACAGTTACGTAGGAAATAATCAAATGTAGGCCTAAAAAGCTGTAACTTTGCATCAAGGGTCTCTGTTTCGAGAAGGGTTTTCTCATGCTGTTACAATATGTGGAAAAGGGGTCAGCTGATAAATCACGTGACAAGCCTCTTCCCCAGATTCATGGTGCTTTCATGACAACTAGGAACTCGAGGTCAAACCATGACGTCGGCGATCTTTGGGTCAGAAAGTTGGAGAACTAGAAAGAAGCCCGAGTTTCCGGCTTGGAATTCCAAGTTGGATGACCGTTCAAAACACTTTTTCCCAATCGGAGCTCGTTTCTATCCGAGTTCCCAGTTGTCTGAAAGCACTGATGTCGGAGATTTCCGAGTTCCCAGTTTTTCTTAACGCAGCATCAACATGGCGAGGCTAAACTGACACCCCTGGTGCCTAAATTGATGACGCATGTCGCGCACTTGAGAGTGGAATGTCAAATCAAATCAAATCAAAATGTATTCGTTAGATGCGCCGAATACGACTGGTTTAGACTTTCCCGTGAAATGTTTGCTTACGAGCCCTTCCCAATGATGCAGAGTTTACAAATAGTAGGAAAAAAAAAAAAAATGACTAGAATGGAGCTACAGTGAGCTCCAAAAGTATTTGGGACAGTGACATATTTCTTGTTGTTTTGGCTCTGTGCTTCAGCACTTTGGATTTCAAATTATACAATGAAGATGAGGTTAAAGTGAAGACTGTCCTCTTTAATATGACGGTATTTTCTTCCATATTGGGTGTACTGTTTAGAAATTACATCACTTTTAGTATATAGTCTCCCCATTTTAGGGGAGCAAAAGTATAGGGACAAATTCACAAATTCAAGTTTGTTCCACCTGAGCTAGTCTGACCACCAATCAGAGACCACTATGACGACACACCAAATGATTACCACCAATCAGAGACCACTATGATGACACACCAAATAATGACCACCAATCAGAGACCACTATTATGACACACCAAATGATGACCACCAGTCAGAGACCACTATGATGACACACTAAATGATGACCACCAGTCAGAGACCACTATGATGACACACCAAATAATGACCACCAGTCAGAGACCACTATGATGACTCTTTTGATGGATCCTTTTGGTCTTCTTCCTGTTATAGAGGTTCTGAATGGGAAGGAGCTCAGCCCCAGTGATGTACTGGGCTGTCCCCACCACCCTCTGTAGCACTTAGCGGTCAAGGGCAGTGCATTTGCCATACCAACCGGTGATGCAGCCAGTCAGGATGCTCTCGATGGTGCAGCAGTATAACCTTTTGAGGATCCGAGGGCCCTTGCCAAATCTTTTCAGCCTCCTGAGGGGGAAGAGGCGCTGCCTTGCCCTCTTAATGACTGGCCGGGTGTGTGTGGACCATGTTAGGTCCTTACTGATGTGGACGCCAAGAAACTTGAAGCTCTCGACCCGCTCCACTACAGCCTGGTCGATGTGGATGGGGGAGTGCTCTTCCCTCTTTCTCCTATAGTCTGCGATCAGCTTCTTGGTCTTACTGACATTGAGGGAGAGGTTGTTGTTCTGGCACCACACTGCTAAGTCTCTGACCTCCTCCTTGTAGGCTGACTCATCGGCGTTGGTGATCAGGCCTACCACCGTCGTGTCGTCAGCAAACTTGATGACGGTGTTAGAGTCGTGCTTGGCCACTCAGTCGTGGGTGAACAGAGAGTACAGGAGGGGACTAAGCACACACCCCTGAGGGGCCCCCGTGTTGAGGGTCATCTTGGCCGATATATTGCCTATCCTCACCACCTGGTTTCTGTGGGGTAGAATAAAAGTGGTTTAGAGTTGTAGCGCCCTTAGTGGCGCAGGAGACATGTTTGCAGAAGTGAGGTAGGACGGTTTTTACTCTCCCTGCGTTAAAAGTCTCCGCCCACCATAAATGCTGCCTCCGGGTGAGAGGTGAGCGGCTTGTGGTGAGAATTGATTTAGTTCTGTCAGTCGTCCTGATGAGCCATTCCTAGCTAGCTAGATTATGCTGGCTAGCTGGCAACAACAGCAGCATGGCGCTAGTTAAAACTTGTAAAAGAAAGTAATGTTTATTTCGATGGGCGAAGGAGAAATAACCGATTAGCTAACGTAACGAGAAGCCGGTGTGAGGTGCTTGCCTATATGAGACTTCCTTCCCACTGGCAGGGTTGAAAGGTCAAAAATGTCCAGTCCAATGACCACTCAAAACCCAACGACCACAAGGCCTGAAAACTAGAGCAAAAATGTTTTTCGCAGCAAGAGAGCAGTTGCCACATTTATCCAATAAACCCTTTTTTCCATAACGTTATTGAACGAATTAAGAAGGAATATCGACGTAACTTGTAACGACGTAAGAAGCAAAATTCAGTTTTCAAAATAATAATTATTGCGAGCTAACGTGACGTAATAAAAGAATTTGAATATGCCGCAAGAGAAAACATAATTGGCCATTATTAAACTTGCCAGATCATTTTCCATCAATGGATGTCGATTTAACTAATTTGTCTACTATGATTGTTAAATAAATCCCTTTTGGCATGTACAGTACACTGTCCATAGCTACAGATAGGCTAAATCCCACAGGAGAACTTTAGTGAAATCTCAAAATCTCTGCACTAAAAACACGAATGTTAGGCTATTTTCTTGGAATTGTTCCATTATTATGTGTCAGATGTTAAGACTACAAACAGTTATAATTTTTTTTTTTTTTTAATT